ATATATATATATGTATATAATATATACTATATTATTTTTTAAATATATTTTACATATATGCGTGTTTAATAATATCCATCATAAACGGATATCGCATTTTTAATTAATTCAGTTTTTAAATGTCTTTTTTTTTAATTTTAGGTATCTGATCTTGGTATGACAGATTCATTCCGCTCACAAATAACTGAAAAGTCAAAAATGACATCTGCTCAATTGACGTCATATTATAACATGATACCAAAGAGAACAAATCCTACGAAAGGTGGATCAGTAGGGGTGCCAGTTAAAGTATGGACAAATATGTTCAAGATTATATTCGACAATAAGTTTGTAACCAACGCAGTTCATTATGATATTGATATTAAGCCTTACAAAGAGAAAGAGGACAAAAAGAAAGCTAATAAAAAGATTAAAAAGGAACTTAATCTTCCTAAACCTTTATGCAGGAGTATTTTTGAACAATGTAGAAATAAACATTTTAAGAATAGATATCCGGCATATGATGGGAAGAAAAATGCGTATAGCGCGAATGATCTTCCTATCGATGATGTAAGTAATACATGCGTTGAATGTAATATAATTTATCACATTTGAAATAAGTTTTATAATATTGCTTGATCAAAAGCTAATTTCTAATTAAATCTACTAATAATCAAAACTAATGATTACACAGTTATTGTATCTTAAAAATGAAGATGTGTCAAGTAGACCTAAATGATTTAATTAGAAATCTAATTAAAGAGATAAGCAAAAACTATAAAGAATAATTTTTCACATTTTTTTATATTTTTTATTCTTTTTTATAGATGGCGGATGTTTTTGAGCACCAAAATCAAGAGGGGCGAAGGAACCGATATCAAATTGTTATAAGGAAAGTGGCTAATGTTGACCTTAGCTGGATAAAAAATTTGAGACCTGGTCGTCTGGAAGAGAGAGATCAAACTTCCATACAAGTTTTAGATATAATTATGCGTTATGCACCCGAATCACAGTTTATTACCGTAAGTAATTAACAGTATTTTTTTTTAACAAACTTCTCCTTAGTTATATTGCTCGATTTCAAGCGTCGTGATTCTTTCTGCATATATCTGTTGATGAGATGTATGAGAACTGCAATTTAACGCCAATTCCGAACGGCTTTCTGTAGAGGGGTATTCATGGCAAGATATTCTTGGTGGGTCCGAGAAGTGGCGATCGAATAAAAACGGTCAGATTTGAACTCTGATCTTCGGTTCTTAAGAGTAACGGCATATCTCTGCGCCGCGATCGCCACTCATAGTCTTTTTTAGTAGATACTGATTTTTGTACAATTATAAATAACATCGATTTTTTGAAAATGAATCGCTTGTTAAGAAAATGTTTTTGCATATTATTGTTTGAACTTGAAAATCTGCTTTTTCAATATATACTTATATTTATACTTTATAATAAATGTTAGATATGGGTTGTAATTGAAGGAAATTGATTGATATAAACAAATTTACATGATGCATAATTTAAAATGTATTTTATTATAGATCGGAAAGTCACTCTACTGGGATATAAATGAGAATGAACCATTAGGTGGTGGCTTAGCTCTAGCGCGCGGTGGATTTATGTCTGGGATACTTGGCTGGAGTCTGTATCTAAATATAGATGGTAAAGTATTCACGTTGATTAATACATTTATCATTTGAACTACAAACAAATGTATAGGCAATATTTTTAAAGCTTTTGTAATGGCTTGAACCGAAAACTACAATAAATATCCTTATCTATAATCTCTATGTAATATCTCTTGTATTTTATTTAGTTTCTCATAAAGGATTTACCATGAAGCAGAGAGTACTTGACTATATAGCTGAAGTTTTAAGGGTCAGAGAAAACAACATTACTTACAATGGTGTCATGCGTGAATCTAAGATACAAAGTTTTTTGAGAGGCTTAAAAGTGACTTATAAAATACCCAACGTATCGAGGCAGACGCATCGCATAATTAAATTGAGCCATAAAGATTGTAATACAGAATTCAAACAGGAGTCATCAGATGGAACGAGAACAATATCAAAAACAACAACAATAAGAAAATACTTTTGGGAGTCCAAGAAATATAATATACGAAGGCCTGATTTGCCTACTCTTCATGTGAGCACGACGTCTAACGGAAGTGAAATTTTGCTGCCTATCGAAGTGCGTAAGCTGTTTTATATTTGCTACAAGTGATAGCATAAGATAAATGAAAAATTTTCTTATTTACAGTTATGCACTATTATGCCGAATCAGCCTATTAGAAAGCTGGACGAAGAGCAAACTACAAACATGATCAGAAAAGCAGCAACTAATGCGATTACTCGTAAAGAAAGAATAGAGGCAGCGGTAAAAAAACATTTTACATTCGTATATTCAACATGTATTTTATCATTATTTAATATATTATATATTTGTAGTTCAACACAATCCAAATTAACAATAGTCCCGTCATGTCAAGAGAGTTTCATCTATCTGTCCACCCAAAAATGGAAGACGTACAGGCCAGAGTTTTACCTGCTCCAGAATTGAGATATTCCAGAGGAAAGGCACAAGTAAGACGAGGGACATGGTATATTCAACCATTTAACGAACCCAAACATTTGGAGAAGTCAACGTGGACTATTGTCAATATGTCTGGAATGTCGAACCTGCAGCCTGCTATGCAAGAATTCGCGACAATGTTGCAAACTACTGGTTAAGTATTTTAAAAAATGAAAACTAGAGATAAAAATGTATTCCGTCGAGGACTTTTAAAAAGTATAGTGCATTTGTCAATTGTTTATTCAAAAAGAAATTTATCATGGTACATAGTTTGCAATGTTTGCAATTGTAAATTTAAATTTTCGACGAATTGTAATTTTGAATCATACTATACATAGATTATATTCATATATTATATTTTATGTTACATTAAATCGTTTTTTTTTTCTTTTTTTTTAGCAAAGGAAGTTGGTATGATAATTGAGCGGCCTCGTTTATTTGATGGATCTTCTTTTAGATTAAACGAATTAGATAAAATTACACAATTCTTCATTGACAATAAGAAGTTAAAATTAATAATAGTTATCATACCTAATCGCACAGACGTAATGTATGGTGAGTACATGATTCTTTTTATTATATTTCTTATTCTGAATATAAATCAATCTGGTGTTATTTATCATTGTCTCAGGTAAATTAAAAAAGATTACCGAGATGGACGTTGGTGTTTTAACACAATGTATAAAACTTCAAACTTTAAAGAGACTTGATCAGTACAAACAAGTAACGACAGTAAGGAACATTCTGCTAAAAATAAACTCAAAATTAAATGGCGTTAATCACATATTTGATAGAATGTAAGTGAATAATACTTGTACCTTAACATTTTATGAAGATACCTGTAACCTCGAGTAAAACTGTTTTCCTCTTTTTTTTTAATTTTCTCTTTTAGGCCAGCATGTCTGAACGAAAAATATCCTTGTATGCTTGTTGGCGCCGACGTGACTCATCCGTCTCCCGATTCTAAAGATTCACCATCTATAGCAGCGGTTTGTATAATTATTAAACATAGCTTTCCTTTTTTATGTGAATATTTGTGTGTGTGTTAATAAATTAATAAGAAATTTTATTAACTCAGGTTGCTGCAAGTAGAGATAAATCAGCTTTCCGATATAATGTTGCACTTAGACTTCAACAACCCAAAGAAGAAATGATTTTAGATCTTGAAGAAATAATACTAACGCAACTTAGAGTTTATCAGCAGGAAACAAAATGTTGTCCAAAGAGAATCGTTTATTATCGGTATGTATTGACGATACTCAATGTTATGTAACTTATTAAAAATGTTTTTATAGATACATAAAGGAAAACTCAGTTTTAAATGTAAAATGTAAAATAAATAAGAAACCTATATATATGTATGAGTAAAATATGAATTTCTATTTTTTTAATCTCTACAAATATATCTTATATACATACTTATATTTTAATGCATTAATGCCATATTTATATTAATTTCCAGAGACGGAGTCAGCGAGGGGCAACTTCCACAAGTTATGTATTACGAAATAGGAGCTATAAAAAAAGCGGTCAACGCTTTTACTAAATTCACTCGCGGCAGTAATATTGAAATTAATTGCTTGGTCGTTCAGAAGAGACACCATGTGCGTCTCTTCCCTAAGTCCAAAGATATACGTGACACCGAGGACACAAGAAATTATAACGTGAAACCGGGTACAATTGTCGACACGACTATTACCCATCCAGAGCACATTGATTTTTATCTTGTATCACATGCGAGTATTCAGGTAGGTCGATACGATAAGTTAAGTTTTTTAAATAAAAATATTTGTTATATAACTAAAAATGTTTTGTCGTTAAAAAACATTAAAGATATCAATGACAAAATTTTCGCAATAGTAATAGCGACCAATAGTAATTATAGCAATAGTTAATTCGTAATAATTATAATAATTTACTTTAAGAAGCATATTAAATTATATTAATAATTAAATTTATAAACTATAATTATTTTTTCATCAATTAAATGAAGTTTATTTGATGTATAGTGTTGATGATTATGATTATAAATGTAGGGTACAGCGAGGCCTACAAAATACAGATGCATCTACAACGAATCCAACTTTACCGAAGATCAGCTTGAAGAGTTGACATATTATCTTTGTCATATATATGCCCGCTGTGCAAGAGCGATAAGCTATCCGGTGCCTACCTATTATGCTCATTTAGCAGCTTATCGTGGAAGAGCCTTGATACAAGGGTAAGCAATCTATTACGCTATGAATCGGATATTGATTATGATCATGATCTGTAAGATATTATTTCCATTTATCAGGAACAGAGACTTTAGGTTGAGTGACTTGGAAAGGGAACAGAGAAACTTTATAATAAGAATGGGAGATTCACCAATGTTTTTTGTTTAAGGATAGATATTCATGATTTCAAGGATTTCCGAGGATCGCTTTGTAGTTGAGACATAATGTCCAACCGATGTCCACACAAACCGATCTTCGAATCCCCTTCAATAATTATAAATAGATTATTCATTAATGTATTAATGAGTATTGCTCACACACACACAGTTTTTCTCTTTTGTTTTTATGTATTATATCTCAATCGTATGATTATCACAAATATGACGCAACAAAAAGAAAAAAAGAAAGATTTATAGAACAAGCTATATCGAAACAATACCATTAACTTTGTCTTTCTTTAATCATTTTTCTTTTTATTGCTTGTGACTTTATAATTGTGAATAACCATTATATTATATATAATAATATATATGACTTATAGGTCCATGCAGATGTATGCATTTTTATGTATAGTACTATAACGTTGAAAAATACGTATCTGCGCATGTTAACTATTTGTTATTAGAAAGACTAGAAAAAGATGGTAATGGACTATGGTCCATATTCTCAACTCTCTTTTATTGACAAAAGCGCGCTTTTTATTTCTGAAATGTCATAGTGTATGTAATATGAACTGTATAGCATCTCAGAAATAAAAGCGCGCTTTTATCGATAAAAGACGGTTCAGAATGTAGGCCTATGACTATATGATAAAATGTATAGTCATATGTGCGCTTCGTATCTTTACATCCACATATGAACTAAATAGCCCTGTGGACAAGGTTTACTAATTATAATTTTTAATAGAAAGTTATTCAAATGTCTAGACGGTAGTTATTGCACATGCAATATGCTGATGTCGTAGTACTATATCCAACTTTTATGATCTGTATTTTCATGTTTGAAAATATAAAATTTATATATAAGGAATTACATTTAAGATCATATACTCGTTAAAAAAGAGACAAATAAATGGTGTTTATACGAAAGATACTTTGTTGATACATTTTATAATAGTTTGAAGGCTACAGAAAGATTGTTGATATACGCAAAGAATGTCTTATACTCCATTGACAGAAATGCGAAAGGCGCACAGCGTTCTAAAGAGTTTAAGAAGTCCTATAATCTTAATTGCGTAACATACAGTGTGAAATATTGCATTTAATTTCTCGACTACTTATTCATATGCATTTAAAGCTATTTTTTTTATAAATGCATTGCTATTCTAAAGTATATAATTATTTATATACTTTATTATTTTTGTAAAAAATGACTGCATTTGGATTGTCTTCTCTTATTAAGGTCTTCACACATAAAATGCCGTAAGGACGTAAAACGTAAGCGTAAGAAAATCTATCAATCCCAATCGAGTATTTTCCCCTACTGGGATTACGTACAGCGCAATACTTGATTGGGATTGGTCGATTTTCTTACGCTTACGTTTTACGTCCATACGCGATTTTGTGTGTGAAGGCCTTTTATTACTGCTGTCAGCTGTCTTCGCGCCTCCAATGGCAGCGCGGAATCTATACATGTAAAGTGTGTATAATGTGCAGACAGACAGACAGACAAACAAACAGACAGACAGACAGACAGAGAGAAGCCTGAGAGAGCTAGTCAGTCAGGCTTCTCTCTCTCAGGTGCAGATAATTGTTCTTTTTTTTGTGTGTCTATGGTAGGGTTATATGCTTTCACCACGTGTTGGCTTTGATCCGTCACGTACAGAGGCTTCTCTCCACTTCTCTCTGACGAGACATACGAATAGCGACTTGTCAGGAAATTACTAATATATAGAAAGAGAAAAAATGAATAGCAATGAGCATAGAAGGCGCCTATTTGCCCCGTGATTCATTGTCTCTCTTTCTATCACCCATGTGTGTGTAGTACGTATGATATCTGCGCACACAGAAGGCCACGTACTGTCATCGTCGTCATCGATATTTATTCCTCGCTCCAACCGGCTAACGGAATGTCGAGCGTCATTTAGGTCGGCGCGACCAAGTCTTTCTGACGTGTTCGACGGCTAGGATACGAGGACCATCGATCAGGATGAGCGCGAAACATTTGAGTACCGGTACTAAAGAAGCATCTGCGTCGCGTAAATCGCGCGATTGACAGGTTTACAGGCTCGTATAGATTAGAACGTCCACTGAATGTGCATTCCTTCTTTCAGGATCGGTAGCACCGCCCCTCGTACCCGACAAAATACGCCTGTACAGCATGCGCTTCTGTCCATATGCGCAAAGGATACACCTCGTGTTGGACGCCAAACAAATCCCGTAAGCACGATTATGCGACAAGTTACCTATTGTTTCATCGTTAGCTTTTTTGCCTAAAATATCGAGCTTTTGCACTAATTGTACTGCTTAAAAAAAATATATATATATATGTTGAAAACTTTTTATTGATATATTTTTTAATATATAATTTCTAATTTAACAGTTCTGTACGTAAAATTACTTTTCTTATTTCTATTCTCAAGTATGACATAATAATTTAACACAAAGCATTTATTTCATAGAAAGAGAAAGATTTCTTTCTCTAGAAAAGCTTTCTATAGAAAATAATTTTATGTAGATAATAATTATTCCTATATATGTGCAACGTCTCTTTCCACACATTGTTTTGCTTTTAGATACGATGTAGTATATGTTAACCTAACACATAAACCGGACTGGTTGATAGAAAAGAGCCCCCTTAATAAAGTTCCTTGTATCGAACTTGAAGGAGGCGAAACGTTGTATGAAAGCCTAATTATCGCTGATTATTTGGACGACGCGTATCCTCAAAACAAGCTGTATCCAAGTGATCCTTTAGCAAAGGCTAAGGATAAGTTATTGATCGATAGATTTAATACAGTGATATCAACTTTCTACTATAAGGTATTTGTTTATGCTGGTTTTTATTTTGAAATATTTATATTCTTGTCTGTAATTCTCAAGTACATCTCCATCCTGATCCTATTATATTTGACTTTTAGGGACTTTATTCGGAAACAACATTGGAGCATGATGTATTCAACGAGACATTGACTGGTCTGGAACTCTTCGATCGAGAGTTAGCGAAGAGAAGAACTCCCTTTTTTGGTGGCAGCAAACCTGGCATGCTGGATTTAATGATATGGCCGTGGTGCGAGAGAGCAGATGTAATAAGGATCACAAGGGGAGAGCAATTCGTCATACCTCGGGACCGTTTCTTGCGATTGGTAAATAATATCATTATTGGTAGTTGACGTGTATATCGATCGCGATAAAAATTTTCTTATATAATGCAGCTTGAATGGAGAGTTGCCATGAAAGAAGATCCTGCGGTGAGCGGCAGCTTCCTGGATGCCGAAGTACACGCCAGATACATACGCAGTCGTCTAGCTGGGACACCTCAGTATGATTTAATAGCTAACAGCTAAAGATAGTCCAGTCTATGGTTTTTTCCGTCTTAAGTTCAAGCCATACGCCACTTCGTACCCTTTCGTATTCATGGATGCGCCACTTCGTTGCCCTTTCAACATAGCAAAATTACGCATTCTATATACTTAAATACATATATATATTTTAAAAAATAAAATTGATGTTTATGTAATATCTAAAACAGATACTAACTAGTTTATAAAACAGAGATATTTATCTTGATTGTTATGTTGATTAATACGTGGAAATAAATTTTTTTGCATAAAAAATTATGTTTTTGCAATATATACATTTAAAAAAATTTTTTTTTAGACAAGTACACATGTAATTATATATACAGGGCATTTCGAGTGCCATGCAAATTCTTGCATATAATCTATATAACCTACATATATCTGAGATCTGAGATATGTTTGGGTACGTTCCGTTCCACCATGATGCGCATAATGCATCACTTATCCTTGTTGTTCATCGAATGTTAACCAAGGATAAGTGATATGTTATGCACATCATGCATGAAACAAAACGCACCTTTTATTACAATGGTATTATTTACATATATGGTATCTTAGTATGGTATATATTACTATACTTTTAAATAATGTTTCTATTTGAATATGGTGTTCGTTATGTTTTTGGCAATATTACTCGCGAGACGACAGTAGCGATGATATACATATGTAGCTAATTTACTAACAGTAAAAAAAGATATCAAAATTAAAGTATATTATAAGTTCATTTTCCGCATACTCTTTATAAAATAAATTTAATTATTTATAAAACCTGGCTTTCACAATTGGCAATTAGTAAAACTGTGTTCTGACAGTTGTACCGCGTATAAAAAGCTTACGAAAAGCAGATAAATTAATATCACGATTTCCTACAGGTATTAAACGTTCCCGAAAATCATCAAATATATTCCATAGAAGAGGAAACACACAAAGACCAAGCACACCGTTATCATGAAAGACTTGGCGTTCTCTTTCCTCAAGCTTTGTAATTCCTTTTCGTTTCGCCCGAGAACTTTCTTAATTTCGTACAGCTCGTTCTCCAATCTCTCTCGACTTTCTGCACTGAGTAGTTTCGTCTCAAGCTTCCTCTTGATTACCTCGACTTTATGTAAGGTCTCTTTTAAGCTCTCCTCTAAGCGTTCCACCTAAAACATACCGACGATTAAATCTAATCTGAATTTTCATTTCAACTGATGATGGCAGAGAGGCAGCCAAATCGTCAATACCTTGGTGATGATGGTGTCGTTTTGTGTCATTGTGTATAGTCGCGATACGTATGTACGTATTTGTATCTACTTTCCACTCGGTGTCACTCGTAACAAATTCTTTGGCACTTGTAAGGAATGTAAAGTGGTATCCTTATTGATCTTTACATGGACAGAGAGAAACCTGAGAGAGGCCATCCCGGGCCCCGGCCTTTTTCGTGTGTTGCTGTGTTGCATTTTCCGACGCGCCGCCTGAGAAAGTGCAACTCAACTACGTCGTATCGCTCGGTAACCGCACATGGTTTGCGTCCGTGCTAATGGTTCGTGTCCAAACTAGCCAGCTGGAGGGGATCATGGTATAATGTGTTGGGCGTTATCTGTATATACCCTGAGATTCTGAGAAAGGCCAATTCCGGCCTTCCATTTTCGAAATTGCATATTAGATATTTGACATATAATATAAAATATATAATATATAAAATAATAAATAAGTATCTATATATAATATCTATATGTTTAATTCATATCAGGATCATAAAGGAAAAACTGACTGCTGTGTGAGGCAAGCGTATGGCATTTATTGTTAAAATGAGACAAATGCATAAACGCGAAAGTAAAAACGAGACGTGTAGTGACGCCGCGGCGCTTTTGAAGTTGCCGCGCGGTGCGCGGGAAACGCGGGAAGCGCCTCCGCCATATTGATGACGTATAACCTTCTCCTTCCATGTTCCATGTCCATTTCTAGAAGGCGGCTGACACGGAACGGATCGGCTCCGGAACGAGCGACGTCGCGACTCATTTAATTGGTAAGTATAACACATATTAATCTTGCATGCATTATATTCACTGCGGTATCTATCGCGTAACATAGATTTAGCGCTCGGGTATTGATATTTCTTAAAAATACGTATTCCGCGATACTTGTCCGGCCGAAGGCGCGTCGCACGAGCAATCGCGAAAGTGACGATCGTATTTTCGAGTGTCGTGCCGCGAATATCGCGGATATTTGCCAATAATATTAATACGCTATTCGCTAGAATGCGAAAGAACAATGTAGTAATAAGCGAGTTAGTAAATATTTGATTTTTCAAAGTTCGGAAAAATCATGATCGCGAACTTAAGTTGGGTACGGAACGCGTAGCGACGCCGCGCGCCGCGGCGCTTTTGACGCGTGAAGTTGCCGCGCGGAAACGAAGCGTCTCCGTTATATTGATGACGTACTCTCTTCCCTTTCATTTCCAGAGAGTAGCGGGCACGGAACGGATCGGCTCCGGAACGAGTGGCGTCGCGAATCATTTAATTGGTAAGTTTGACACATATTGATCTTGCATGTAGTATTCACTGTGGTATCTATCGCGTAGTATAGATTCGACGCGACGCTCGGGTATTATAATGATTCTTGAAAATACGTATTCTCTCCGCGATACACACACACACACTTGTTCGGCAGAAGACGCGTTGCGAGGGTAATCGCGAAAGCGATTATATTTTCGAATGTCGCGAATATCGAGGACGCTCCGCGACGCCGCGCGCCACGACGCTTTCGGTATAAGAAATTGCCGAACAGGAGACGATGAAGCGCCTTCGTCATATTAATTACGTTCTCTTTTTATTTTCAGAAGGCGACGAATACGAGACGGATCGGCTCCGAAACGAGTGGCATCGCAACTTATTTAATGTGTAAGTTTAACATGTGTATATATTATAAAGTGATCTGAAAACGACACTGCGCAATTAAATATTTATTTCCAACAGTAACAATTATTAATAAAAGATTATAGATTATTAAATGCTTACCTCGCGATCTGATACATTTGGTCTTCGCTTCCTTAATTTTGGCTCTTCTTTTTTTCCGTATTGTTATTTCTTCGTAGCACTTACATCTGTTTTCTAAAACAAACAAAATATTTATTAAAGGCGATTACAAATAATCATTAGAATACAATGACTGAAAGTATCATACAAGATATGGCAAACCTACGCGAAAAAGCAATATTGCTTGCTTGCTTACACACCACTTTATAAAGTATTTAATTTAGGATGAACATATAGGGAAGAGGTTAAAAGAAATACATGTTTAAAATAAAAATAAAAAAATTACTTTTACACACAAGTTTTATTCGTAATTTCAATACATTTTTAATCAAAAAATAACATCTTAATGATAATGCATTTTTTAGATATCAACTTGTATAA